CAAACACATTTTGGCTTAAATTCAGAAGTGGATTCTGGTGAATTAAATAGGAAGCCATGATTGTTTAGAGTTAGGCATAGCTGGAGCCCTGGTGGTGGAGTGGATTATGTGTTGGGTTGCTAAGCACAAGTCAGCAGTTCAAACCCACCACCCTTTCCTCAGGGGCACAATGAGGCTAATGATCTTTTCCATTCCTGTGAAGATTTACAGTTTTGGAAACCCACAGGGGCACTCTGTCCTATAGAGTTATTATGAATAGGAATCATTTCAATGGCTCTGTGTGTGTATTTGTATTTAATTGCTGGATAACCTGAGGGTGAAACTAGGAAAATAAAAGCACCTGGGTTAGAAAAGAATATTAGTCAAGTAAATAACACAAGCTGAGGCCCATCTGTGCTCCGCTTTTATCCTGAGGGCCACATCCCCAGGCAGCCTCTATCATAGTATCATCTCCAACCCATATGAACAAACCGTTTTCCTCCTAGAAGAGTTCCTTTCCCAGGGCCGTTTTCAAGCCCAAACTTGACATCCATCTTTATCACCCTCTGCCTTTCACTTCTAGTCTCTGGATGTTTCTCATCTGCCCAACCTGACTCCAGACACTCTCTGCCTCCGTGGTCACCCTCTTCTTTGTCTCCCTCGCCTCCTTCTTATAAGAGCATGAATGTGTCTTGTTTTTCGGTCCACCTGGCTAACCCAGGATGGTCTCTTCATTTTAAGATACTTAATTACATCCGCAAAGACCCTTCTTCCAAATCAGGTAACATTCATATGTTTTAGGGATTAGCATATGGTCATATTTTTTTAAAGGACTTAATTGAACCCAATACAAAGATCATCCAGTCTACCCCTGCCATCTGTGTCCAGGGTAATCTTTTATTTATTAATAAATAATTTTACTGGGGGCTCTTACAGCTCTTATAACAATTCATACATCAATTGTATCAGATACATTTGTACATATGTTGCCATCATCATTTTCAAAACATCTTCTTTCTGCTTGATCCCTTGGAATCAGCTCCTTTTTCCCTCCCTCCCCCAACCTCCCATCCTCATGGACCCCTGATAAATTATAAATTATTATTTAAGGTGACCAGACGTCCTGCTTTTGGTGGACAGTCCCGATTTTTAACAATTTGTCCCGCGTCCTGCGGCGTTTTAAAAAAGTCCCAATTTTTGGAAAGAAGGCACGACAAGCTAGGGAACGGCGGGAGAACGGGACGGGAATATACGGTTTTCCACTGCCATGTGGCTATTTTGCCAGGATATGAGTTTTATATTATTTTTGTTAATTTTATAATGTTAAACTTTAGTAATAACAAATAATTGTTGAGAACTGATTATCGAGAACTGCTTATCAAAATTCGCATTGTTGATCAGTTGTTAGAATTCAACCACCATTGTTTGGACTTAATGAACAATGGCATTTTTTTGGCATTGGCAATGATGAAAACATTTTGTAACTGTCTCTCAGACGATATTGCGAGCTGTGTGCTAGTGCTAGTTAAACAAGAGATGTCAACTATTCAGATATTCAGATAATTTAGGTAATTAATTTATTTATTTCATAAATACATAAATTTTCTTGAATTTAGCAGACAGTACTCATATGCCAAAGAATAAAATAATACTATACATAATTTTTAATGTCTTATATTTGTAAATTGTACTTATGTTGAAATTTAAAAATATCTATTAAAATACTATTTTTGTGTTCTATGAAAATTTTTGTGGCTCACCTTAATCTTACACCATCCATTATCTCCCTTCTCTCACATTTCTGTTGTCTCCCTGGGGTGGTGGTGGTGGTTGTTATGCGTCCATCATTGTAGTCAGTTCCCCATTCCTCCCCCTTCTCCCTCCACCTTTCCCCTAACTTCATGATATCACTACTCCCATTACTATTCCTGAGGAGTTTATCTTTCCTGGATTCTGTGTGTTGAGAGCTCTTGTCTGTACCAGCGTACATGCTCTAGTCTAGTCAGATTTGTAAGGGAGAACTGGAGTCATGATATTGGGGGGGTGGGGAACGGAGCATTACAAAACTAGAGGAATGCGTGTTCCATCGGTGCTGGGCTGCCCCCCGGCTGACTCATTCTTTCCTTGTGACCCTTCTGTGAGGGTATGTCCAATTGTCTACAGATGGGCTTTGGGTCTCCACTCTGACCCCCATCACTTACATCGATACATTTGTTTGTTTTGCATCTTCTGATACCTGATCCCATCAACACCTTGTGATCACACAGGTTGGTGTGCTTCTTCCACGTGGGCTTTGTTGCTTCCCTGCTAGATGGCTGATTATTGTTTAACTTCAAGCCTTTAAGACCCCAGACACTCTATCTTTTAATAGCTGGGCATCATCAGCTTTCTTCACCACATTTGCTTATGCACCCATTTGGACTTCAGTGAGTGTGTCAGGAAGGTGAACATCACAGAGTGCCAGGTTATTAGAACAAAGTGTTCTTGTGTTGAGAGAGTACTTGAGTAGAGAGACCCATTGCCTGTCTGCTACCTTAATACTTAACATTTAAATATTTGTACATAGACCTATATCAGGGTCTATTTTCAATTCCATTTCCACCACATCATGCTTTTATTAGAACCATTAATGGTTTCTTATTTTCTATGTCATCAAATCTTAACTCCTCTACCTAGCAATGCAAGGCTTTCATGCTGGCTTAATAACTCAAGCTTAATAACTCACTAACAACTTACAAATGCCTACTTATATGCAAGAGGCTGTTCTCAGCTTTTAGGCACCCTAAGGTGAATTACAGTGCACCCCAGCTCTCACAGTGTGTGAGGCTCAACTGCACAGACAAATGCACGTGGATAATTCTGTTATAATTAAGGTTTTCTGTCAACTTAGCTAGACAATTATTTTCAGACACTAGTGAACACTGTATGATGAACTTTAACACATTCCCTATTTTTTACCAGGCCAACCACTACAATACGTTTCTTCCTACTATGATTTTAAATTTCATTCATAGTGGGTCACACAGTTTGGTGTTTAATGACATTACCATACAACTTCATTACTGTATTAGTTTTTTTTTAACTGTTCTTCCCACTGGCTCACAAATGTTTCTAAAGCTTTTTTTTTTTTTTTAACTTTTACAAGGGTTGATTGTAAAAGTGCTAATAATAATGCAGAACATGCCTTTGAATGAGCCTTTGCTGAGATTAAATGGTTTATTGCACTTGAATTCACTTGCTGAATATGGTACCTGACCCTGTGAAGAAAATTTAGAGCAAACAGAAGATGTGATGAAAGGCTTTCTACCAACCTTTTAAGCAGCGGTGATTATGGAGGCATTGAGTGCTGCCGCATCCCCTCCACTTACTTTCACACCATTGCAGCCAGAGCTAGCCAACCAACAGTGGGAACCATGGCTCAGAGTCTGTGAGGGCAGCTTACAGAATTTCATACCCACTCCCTAAACATAGCACTTAGCCTGCGTAAGTAACTATAGAAGGTCATTTTATTTTTATATACATTGAAGCTTTTCAAAGCACCAAAGTCACATATAAAGAAAGCTTTCTATACCTAATATACAAAGGGTAAGAGAAAAAAAGATATGTATGTTGGGAAATGAAACTAAGAGTGACATTGTTTATACTTCTGTTTGCAGGAATTTATCTTAAATTTTCTAGAATAAGTACTTTTAAGAATCTTGTAATTCACAAAACTGCAGAGATGAAAACGTCACAAGCAAATCTGTAAAACCCCTTTTTCTAAGGCGGACCAGTTGGGGTGTCTCCCCATAGGGGCGCTGTGAGTCAGAATGCACTTAACGGCAGTTGGCGATGGTGATCTCACGAGCATTTTCTCACATACGATTATATTTGTTATATATTTATTTTAAAATAGCAAAAGCTATCACATTTTTCATAGTTTGGTAGCCAATTTCCTTATGTAAAATTATTTACTTTGGTAATATTCTTATATAACTTACATTAATTGTACAATAGTTCATTTTTTTCATGCACCAAAATTTAATGAATTTCTTATTGCTATATATTCAAATTATTTCTCAATACCATAAGTAATGTTACAATAATAATCTTTTTTCTAGGAGCCCTAATGGCATTGTGGCTTTTGTGTTGGGCTGCTAACCACAAGGCCAGCAGTTCAAAACCACCAGCTGCTCCATGGGAAAAACATGAGACTTTCTACTCCTGTAGAGATTGATTTACAGTCTCGGAAACTCACAAGGGCAGTTCCATTCTGTCCTATAGGGTCACTATGATTTGGAATCAACTTGATGGCTGAGAGGATCAACTTTGGGAAAAACCAATTGCTTGGGGAAGTATTAGAGTCTTGTAAGAGCTCCTTATTAGAGCCATCCAAATCATTCAATGTACGTCAGAGGGATAACCCACTATCGCCAAGCAGGTTCCCACTCAGTGCGGCCCTAGAGGAGATCAGAACTGCTCCTCAGGGTTTCCTAGACTAACTCTCTTGCAGTGAGCAGTGCATGTAGTGGGTGTAAACTGCAGAACTTGCAGTTAGCAGCTCAAAGCTTAACACACTGCACCATAACACACAACTTCACAATTGTGCATCCTCTAAATATCAACCCCACTCCTAAATCTTGTCTTGATCTGTGATCATGCTTGAGAATCATCCTAGGCAAAAATGTACAAATTAGCAGGGTTCAGTATGACAATGAGGCCCTGTGGATCTCCAGGAGAGAAAAGGAAAAGATGTGTAGAATTATTTAAATTGTTTAACCATTCCCATTATTATTTAAATGAATTAACATTAACAAGTGTTTTTAAGGTCTTCCTCTTCCCCCAACAGTTTTTTAAAAGCAGAAACGATCTGCAATATTCCGATTGGGAAATGATATATTCACAAGCATTTGGAAAAGATTGCCCCAGTTGAGTCCCATAAAAGTTGAACTATATTTAGGTGCTTGCATGCGAACATTTCAGTACTTCTGGCTACTTCCACTCCTTGAGTACAAATTATGGTCCAAGTAAGAAAAGAGAAACAGAATTACACTTTATTTTGAAAAAAATCTACTTTGAATTATTTCATAAATTTTATAATGCAGTTAAAACCATTCTTCTCCCCCTTTGGTGATGTTACTCCGTCTATTCCGTTAATTATGACGTCTCTGAGGATTCAGAACTTGGCAGCATAATCTTCAATTGTGTAGGAAATGTTAAAAAAAAGGTAACTATATATTTTTTCCAATAAGTACTTGCTTCTTAGCTTCGATTAAATGTCGTTATTTAATGCATTAGAAAATATTGACATCTCATGTGATCACAGTTTACAAGCGCTTTGCTCCAGCCTGAACATTGACCATGGAGAAGTAGATGCCTTTCTGCGCCAGCAGCTGCTGGTGCGTGCCGTGCTCCTTGATTTTGCCGTTCTGGAACACCACGATCAAGTCTGCGTTCTGGATGGTGGAGAGGCGGTGGGCGATCACAATGCAGGTGCGGCCTTCTCGGGCTTTGTCCAGTGCTTCCTGGACAACCTGTTCAGCAATCACAAATTAATTCTGATGCAGAGAGCCCTCTCCCTTTAATTCATCCTGCAAGAACGAGCTAACAAGCATCGAGCTCAGGAAGCCTAAGCAAAGGCTAATAAGAGAGGAAACATCTCGCAGTGTCCGATCACCTCTCTTGCTTTGTACGTCTTGGAGCCATCTCGATGCTCAGTCTTTTCTAGACCGGGCACAGCCAGATTTTTTTTTAAATCAATTTATTGGGGCTCATACAATTCATCACAATACATAGATCAATTGTGTAAAGCACATCTATACATTCGTTGCCCCCAT